CAAGCTGCCTGGGAGACAGTCTTCTGGCTGCCATTGGATCAAGATGTAGAACTCTCAGCTCCTCCAACACCATATGCTGCCACGTTTCCCACCTTGATGATAATGGACTGAACCTCTAAACCTGTAAGGCAGCCCCAATTAAATGTTGTCCTTTATAACAGGTTTCTTGGTCATGGTGTCTCTTGACAGCAATGGAAGCCGTAACTAGACAGTAACCCAGGCAGGCACTGAACTCACAATCCTCCTGCTGCAGCTTCCTGAGTAGCTGGGATTGCAGGACTGTGCCCTCAGGCCTGGCTGCAATTTGTTTTCATTTCTCTTTGCTCTTGGCACTTCTCCTACTTCTTCATCTCCAGGCTCTGTGTGATGAATGTTATTCACCCCTTCCTTCCCAGACTTCCTTTAACAGAGACCCTTTCATCCTGGCAGGCAATTGCCACAAGCATCTAAGGAGTGGTCATGTGGGCTGAGAAATGATCAGAGGCCCAAGGCTGCTGCTGTAGGTGATGGTAGTTCGGGTCTCACTCACACTCCCTCTGAGCTTTAGGTTTTCCATTCAAGCCCATAAACACCACACCCAGGGCATTCCAGCCGAGCTCTCTGTAGCCAAGCCAGAATCTTTAGACAACCAGAGGGGAAAAAATGTGCTGAAGGAGCAAGACCTCCATGCTGTCATCCTGTGGGACTCACCCCAGTAGCCTCAGCTGGGGCAGCCATCCCCAGTGCAGGAATGGGCGGCCCTGGGCCATGAGAATCGTGAGTGGAAACCGAAGCCTGATTCCTTTCTTCCTGTCCCCGCAGAGCTCAGAATGACTAAAGAATGAGCCAGCATTGAGGATGCATTTGTCAAAGTGAGAGAGGCATGTACGATCACTGAGCGTGGCTTGAGAGTCCCACCTCATAAAGGAATGCCTCCACCCTTCCAGGAGATGAGTTAAGATATGTTCAACTTTAGAAAATCCTCCCCTGATTCCACAAATGGCAAACCCCAGACTATTCCTGTTGGCCAGGTAGGGGAAAATAGGTCTACTGAAAAGAAACTAATTGCAAACTGACACTCAGAAATCCCCCATGTCTCAATGATTCTGTGTTGTAGGATATTGAATAAGGAGGCCATAGAGGGGCCCCAGTGAGAATAAGCCACATTTCCAAAGCACTTTATAGTTCAAGAAGCAGTTTCTCGTGTCTATCAGACAGTTCAGTGCAGATAACCTGAGAAAGCCCAGCAGAAAAGGAGTCAATATAGGGGACTAGGCACTTATAACATGGCTGCAACATTTAGAGAAACCGGCATCCAGTCTGGGTCTCCAGGGTGATTTCCACAACTGTATTCCAAAAAAAGCCTGCTCAGACAGTGTTCACCTCTGCCATAGTCAGGAAGCTACTGCCAGAAGGCTTGGCTTTAAGCTAGATAATAGTACTGTTCACCCCAGGCTCATAGAACAAGGACTACACACAAGGACATCTACCACTCACCCAGGCCTCTCCTTTCTCAGCTTTCTTCATTCAGTGCTTGCAAGCAGACACATGATTGGTAGACTCCCCATGACATCTGAAACCATGGCTGCAAGGGAGGGAGTCTAGGAATTGTAGGCTTTTAACTTCCTAGTCTTTGCAGTACAGGATGTACATTAGAAAGCTGGGCTAGATGTCTGCCTGTCTGCAATGCATTTAATGCTCACAGAAAATCTGGAAACAAGAGGAGAGGTGTTAGCCTCACTTGTCGAAGAGAAATGACAGAGAGGCGGGGGAGCCAGGGGCTGTGCTTTGAGCCAGTGAAGCTGAAGAGTCGTAGGGATTGAGCTGGGTGAAGAGCTGAGCCAGAACTGTATTCTGTGGATAGGGAATAGAAGGTGCGAAGACCAGAACGTACCTACACGTAGAAGAGAAGTGACAGAGCCACAGAGCTGGATACATGCGGAGATGTTGCTGTTAGCCAGACAGGAGGATGCGAAGCGAGCCTGGGGAGGTACGAGGGGGTGGGCAGACAGGCAAGCCTGAAGGTCTGGATAGAATCTGGCTTTTGTTCTGAGAAGGATAAGAACCAGCCATCCGAGGCTTACGAAGGGGAATGCAGATGGAACCTGATCATAGACTTCACAGTAGTCGCTGTGCTTCCTGGTTACATGTTTGCACTTGTAACCAAATATGTCCACAAATATGTCACTGTCCCAAACTGTCCCTCCCTGTGCTTTATTTTTGCATAATTTCCATGGTTTTTAAATCCAAGAAATGGGATTTAAAAAACAAAGGCAGGAGGGGAGGATGGTAAGATGTCAACAGAGCTATTTACATAAACCCAAGCTCCTAGGGAAGCCGCTGCTCTCCTTTGTGAGGGTCCATGACACCTCCAACTCAAATAGTATGGAAACACAAAGAGTGTTTTATTCTGTAGAAGTCCAGCATGCTGAGATCTCCCATTACCGAGATAGAGAGACACCCAAGTGAGCTTGCCGGCCTGATTTAAAGCACATTAGGAAATTCTGGGGTAGGTGACCTCTCTGTTAATCTGTTGGGTCCATCGCTACAGACATTCCATTACTGGGGTGTAAGGGCTGGAAACTGTTGCTGGGGAAGTCTGGAAACTGCTGCTGACCCATTGTCCTTGTCTCAGGCTGGGTGGCAGGGCTGCTTCTGCTGCCTGGACTTGCCAGGAGTTGCCCAGTTCTTGGAAACAGAGATTTAGGCCTAGTCTCCTTAGCTGCTAATTTGAATCCTGTCATGGAGTCAGCCTAGCCTTCTCACCTTCACACATGATATGTGACTTTGTGTTCTTTTCTGAGTTCATCATGGTTGGTTTCCAGTCAGCTGATTCAAAATACTCATGAAAAAAATGGAAAAAAATACTCATGAATCTTGAGATTATTGATGTTTGACTGGCACAGTTACAATGGGGTAAGATGTGCGTGGATCCTAAGGGTGAGAGCACTTGCTTAGGTGAACCCCCTAACAGGGCTTCTCAGCACGGAGCCTCTTTCTAAGTCTTCTGAGGGTGTACTAAGCACATGGGGATGGGACTGGGGGTGGGGTTATCCATGCCAGCTCAGGGTGGGTGGCTAGACATAGGAAACGTGTATGTGAGATTTTCCTCTGGGAACAGTGGTTGGACAGATAACATCCTGGTCTGTGGATGTGTAGTATGAAACCTTAAGACAGGGATGCCACGGCTCACCCTGCTCTTCTTTCTTTGGATTTTCAGGAAACTTTGGCTGGGAGATTCAGAGATAGCATTGCTGCCTTTCAAAGCACTACCTGCATGTGAGTTGGGGCAAACTGGTGCATCTTTTTACATTGTATTTAAGTCTCTTAAGCAAACTTATTTGTTCAATTGCAACAATCTTTAGGCGCCTCTTTTCCTCCATCTACAGCCGCCAGATACAAGAAGAATGCCCAGTCATTTCCACTTATATTTTGGAAACTCTGAAAGAAATATACAAGAATCCAAACCTTATTTTTTTTTCTTGAAAAAAAAAAAGGAAATCATGTGAAGACTCAAATGATCAGTGAAGTACAGCATCAACAGGTGCTGATCAGACTCGAAGAGACTTTGGGAGGAGGTTGCTAAGCACGAGTGAGGGTGGAAAGGAAAGATGTTGGTAAGGGAAGGCAGGACCAGTGTCAATATTAATTGGTAGTTTCAGTTTGGAAAGATGCAAAAATCCTGGAGACAGACTGTGGTGACATTTACACAATAGTGTGAACACACTTAATGATACTGAGATGCACATTCAAATGCTCTTAAAGTGCTAAATCTGATGTTATTCCCGTTATAATTTTTAAATAAAAATATCACTGTGAATAGAGAACATTGTCTCGATAAGGAGACCCTAAGCTTGTTGACTTTTAGTTCAGAGACTGTGAATGTGTGGTTATACTAAAAACAACCTGCTTCCTGAAAACACATAACTCATCCCAGGCCAACAGGCGCTCTTCCTGTGCTTTCGTGCATTCTGAGGCTGAGGCTGTCCCCATAGTGTGTCTGTCAGGAAGTGAGTGACTCATGGGGTCTTTATGACAGATCTGTGAATCACACACACACACACACACACACACACACACACACACACACACACGAGTCACCCCTGCAGGCTTGTAAAACAGGCAATGATGTGAGGCCAGAGAGATGTGCCTTGGGGCATTGGAAGGGCAGCAGCCTGCTCATGACCAGTGCATTCTTGAACAGCCACTCCCAGAGCTTAGTAATGAGCTGAGGCTGTGGGTATAGCTCCCGACCCAGCCCTGCAATGTTCTCTCTGGCCCTCTTTGAGGACACCCTTACTGGCAGCTACCGTGGGGAGACAGTAAACAGGGAATCAATCACATGGTACCCATTGGCCACGGTGAGTGACCAAGTGTGTTTTAGGGCCCTGTTTGTCTCCTAACATGAGGGGCACAGGATGCAGTTGTGTGAAGACTTCTGTGCTAACACGTTTGTTTAACTTACATCCTCCTCCATTGTCAAGGTGGGGGACCCTCAATTGTGGTAACAACTTGACTAAGAAGTGAAAACCAAATTTAACCTTGGGTTCTTACTAGTTGTGTTTGGTTCCCATAGTAAAAGCTAAAAGCTCTTTAGCCTCTGTTTCTTTCAGCCTTTAAGTGACGGAGCTGGGCTGTCATCGGTTGGTACACAGCACATGGGATGCTCTCTTGTGTCTAACACTTCAAACCAAAGCTCCCTGTGCCCAAGACAGACAGACCCGTTACTACTACGACAGGTGTCAGCCATCTCCATTCACAGCCCTTTGCCTCTGAGCCCAGGGGATCACGGACTTTCTCAGATTCCTCACACCACCATCTGTTAATTGGGGTTACACTTCTGAAATGATTCTTGCCATCTTAAATGCCACAATGTTGGTCCTCAACTCTGGCTTGTTGTAGGACTTTTCCTGGTGCATCTATTCCTGTTCACCCCAAACAAAGAGAGCAAGGATGGATCACAGAAATGACTCCACTGCTTGGTGAATCAATGAGCTTACTGGGGTTACTTACAGGAGCACAGGCAGCTGTATCACTGAAAAGCCCACCCCAGCATGCATGATGGCTGCAGCATTGCAGTCCCCTGTACAGCTCGCAAGCAGCTTTCACACGTCAGCCTCTACTGTCCCCTGACAATTGCATATTGCTTATATAAGTTCAGAGAGGGGCCTCATGAGTTGTGGTACTCCTGCCTCTATGTGGGATTTTCAGTCCAGAGAAAACTGCTACGCAATCGGCTATACGTTTCTGAGAACTTTTATAAAACATATCTGTTGGGGGCTGGAGAGATGCCTCAGAGGTTAAGAGCACTTGGCTGCTCTTCCAGAGGTTCTGAGTTCAATTCCCAGCAACCACATGGTGGCTCACAACCATCTATAATGGGATCTGATGCCCTCTTCTGTCATGCGGGCATATATGCAAATAATGTACTCATATACATACATAAATCTTTAAAAGATATATCTGTCCCAACAAACTGGGACTAATGATCCCTGAGGATTCTGGTCCAATAGTGATCAGCTTTACCATATCCTTGGAAAGAGAGATTACAGACACGTAAGAGGACAGTGCCACACTTCCCCAAACACTTGTAAAGTTGTAAGTAGGATTTTAGTTTATGCCTTGTGGTGTAAATATTCAGTGGGATGTCGTGTGCCACAGCCCCAGCTGATGCCTGGTGGGTGGGCAAGGTGAATGTGTGTGAGCACTTCCGGGAGTTACTGAGTATAATTCACAAACGAAGCTCTATGGTCTCTGAAGGAAGAATGAGCTCAGTGTGTGGTTGCTTGGTTGGTTAGAGCTGGTCCTTTGAGTTTCTAATGTGAAAAGTTATGCACATGATGCTTGAAATATTTTCATTAGAAGATATTGTAAGGGTGGGAGACACGGCTCAGCGGCTAAGAGCACTCACTGACTGCTGCTCTTCAGGAAGTCCTGAGTTCAATTCCCAGCAACCACATGGTAGCTCACCACCATCTGTAATGGGATCCAATGTCCTCTTCTGGTGTGTCTGAAGACAGCTACAGTGTACTCACATACATAAAATAAATAAAAAGTAATTTTAAAAAAGAAGATATTGTAAGCTAAGTGTTTAGAAAGCCCCCTTGGCCTCCCTAACTCAGAGGTAGTGAGTGACTCTGAACTGTGTCTATCCATGTTCTTGTTTTAGGAGTCTTCCATGACCCCCATCAAGCCATTTAACTCCTCCCCCCCCCCCCGCATCTTCCCATGCTTTAGTTCCCTTATCTCTAAATGGAGATAATAATATGAGATCATTATAAAATTGTCATCATAGCTACATGTTTAAAAAGGTGTCTGTCACTTCCACATGATTAAGCTGACAGTAACTCTTGTGTTTCCCCCCACTCCACACCCCCAGGGCTGGAGATCCAGCTCAGGGTTTCATGGGTGCTGGTTGAGCTACACTCCCAGCCTTCTACAGTGATTCATAGAAAGATTTGTTTTCCACCAAATTCATGTTAATTACCCATATGTTTAAAACTCCTTTTTCCTTCACTTTGAGTTGAATGTGGGGCCCGAGTAAAAGACGATACTGTCTCTCCTGAAGTCAAGAATGGGAAAGAGGCTCTTTGGAAAATGTGTGTATTTTTTTACTAAGTACAGTTCAAATGATAAGTGGTGGACTCTGGGACCCAAGTCTGGAAACTTTGAATTTCCTTCAATGCATCAATTTCTCTCCCAGCAAGCTAGGTCTCAAGCTTTCCTTAGAAAGTGTTAGGTAGAGTTGGATGCGGAGTGTTTACCCAGTCATGGGTGAGCAGCGGGCAACATCAAGTGCTAACCTCATGGCTGAAGAGCTCATGACCTTGTTTCCAACCTCTCTCCTGATTGTTGTGGGAAGGTAGGAGAGGAGAGGAGAGGAGAGGAGAGGAGAGGATCTTAGCTCGTGCAGAATTTTGATGCAGAATCGACTAAACATATTCCAAGATGCCACGAAGTTGAAGTCACATGAATGCTAAGTGATTTCTTGGCATCAAAAAAAAAATCAATCTCTTTTATGTCAGTCCTAAGAAAATAAACACTTTTTTCTTCTTCAATACCAGAAATAGCCAGAGAAGCTTCAGCTATTACAGCAAAAGCTTTTAAAATAATTACTTCTAGAATACGATGATATTAATGATTAGCTTTGTGTGAAAATTGAAAAGATAAGTAGTTAAATACTGGGAATAATAAACCTTGGAAGTGTCACTGTGTAATAAGTTTGCCCTTTCAAAGTATCATTTTCCAATGATATATATATTTTTTGCTCATAGTGAATTGTTCAGGAAAAGTTAAATTCCTCACTAAATAATTTCTTTTCTATGATTAAGGTGACTTCTTGAAATGATGTCTGATTTTCATACCCCACAGTCGGAATCTTTGAGAACTAGATGTTTAAAGAGTTGTTGCATGGTTGGTTGTGGTGTACTGTGTGCCGGGCACTGCACACCACAGTCTTATTAACTCTCAAGTGGCCCCATGGGGACAGTTATGTCATTCGTTTGGAGATGAAGAAATGGAGGCTTAAGGAGGTTAAGCTGAGTTGGGGGGATGGCGCAGTTAGTACCTGCTGCTCAAATATGAGATGCTGAGTTAGGATCCCTGGGACTCATGGGTGCAGGGACAGGAGTCTGTAATCCTAGCTCTGGGGAGGCAGTAGAATCCTGGAGCTCATTGGCCAGTCTAGCCTAACTGGTGAGTTCTAGGTTCGGTAAAAGACTTTGTCTCATACAGGACACTGACCTTGACCTCCAGCCACCACATGCACATATATATGGGTGTGCACACGCATACACACACACACCACAAAGACACACACACACACACACACACACACACACACACACACACACACACAC